ACGTCCACGTCCACGTCCTTGTCCACGTCCACGTCCACGTCCACGTTCATGTCCACGTCTACGTCCACGTCCACATCCCCGTCCACGTCCACGTCCGCGTCCACGTCCACGTCCACGTCCACGTCCATGTCCACGTCCACGTCCACGTCCATGTCCACGTCCATGTCCATGTCCACGTCCACGTCCACGTCCACGTCCACGTCCACGTCCACGTCCAGGTCCATGTCCTCGTCCACGTCCATGTCCACATCCCTGTCCACGTCCACGTCCGCGTCCATGTCCACGTCCACGTCCATGTCCACATCCACGTCAACGTCCCCGTCCATGTCCACGTCCATGTCCTCGTCCATGTCCACGTCCACGTCCACGTCCCCGTCCACGTCCCCGTCCATGTCCACATCCACGTCCACGTCCACGTCCTTGTCCTGGTCCATGTCCACGTCCACGTCCACGTCCACGTCCATGTCCACGTCCACATCCATGTCCACGTCCACGTCCATGTCCACGTCCATGTCCATGTTTATATCCATGTCCATGTCTACGTCCACGTCCACGTCTACGTCCACGTCCACGTCCACGTCCACGTCCATGTCCACGTCCACGTCAATGTCCACGTCCACGTCCACGTCCATGTCCACGTTGACATCCACGTCCACGTCCACGTCCACTTCCATGTCCACGTCCACGTCCACGTCCATGTCCACGTCGACGTCCACGTCCACGTCCACGTCCACGTCCATGTCCACGTCCACGTCCACGTCCATGTCCATGTCCACGTCCACGTCCACGTCCATGTCCTCGACCATGTCCACGTCCATGTCCATGTCCACGTCCACGTCCACGCCCACGTCCACGTCCACGACCACGACCATGTCCACGTCCACGTCCACGTCCTTGTCCACGTCCACGTCCACGTCCACGTCCATGTCCACGTCTACGTCCACGTCCACATCCCCGTCCACGTCGACATCCGCGTCCACGTCCACGTCCACGTCCACGACCATGTCCACATCCACGTCCACGTCCATGTCCACGTCCACGTCCACTTCCATGTCCACGTCCACGTCCATGTCCACGTCCACGTCCACGTCCACGTCCACGTCCACGTCCATGTCCACATCCCCGTCCACGTCCACGTCCGCGTCCATGTCCACGTCCACGTCCACGTCCACGTCCACGTCCACGTCCACATCCGCGTCCACGTCCCCGTCCACGTCCGCGTCCATGTCCACATCCACGTCCACGTCCACGTCCATGTCCACGTCCACGTCCACGTCCACGTCCACGTGCACCTCCACAACCATGTCCACGTCCACGTCCACGTCCACGTCGATGTCCACGTCCACGTCCATGTCCACATCCCCGTCCACGTCCAAGTCCACGTCCATGTCCAACCACGTCCATGCCGACGTCCGCGTCCATCCACGTCCACGTCGACGTCCGCGTCCATCCACGTCCACGTCCACGTCCACGTCCACGTCCGCGTCCACGTCCACGTCCACGTCCGCGTCCACGTCCACGTCCACGTCCATGTCCATGTCCACGTTCACGTCCATGTCCACGTCCATGTCCATGTCCACGTCCATGTCCATGTCCACGTCCACGTCCACGTCCACGTCCATGTCCACGTCCATGTCCACGTCCACGTCCATGTCCACGACCACGTCCATGTCCACGTCCAAGTCCTCCACGTCCATGTCCACATCCATGTCCACGTCCACGTCCACGTCCATGTCCACGTCCACGTCCATGTCCACGTCGACGTCCATGTCCACGTCCACGTCCACGTCCATGTTCATGTCCACGTCCACGTCCACGTCCACGTCCATGTCCACGTCCATGTCCAAAACCACGTCCATGTCCACGTCCATGTCCACGTCCACGTCCACGTCCATGTCCACGTCCACGTCCACGTCCACCTCCACGTCCACGTCCATGTCCACGACCATGTCCACGTCCATGTCCATGTCCACGTCCACGTCCACGTCCACGACCACGACCATGTCCACGTCCACGTCCACGTCCTTGTCCACGTCCACGTCCACGTCCACGTTCATGTCCACGTCTACGTCCACGTCCACATCCCCGTCCACGTCCACGTCCGCGTCCCATCCACGTCCACGTCCACGACCATGTCCACATCCACGTCCACGTCCATGTCCACGTCCACGTCCACGTCCATGTCCACGTCCATGTCCATGTCCACGTCCACGTCCACGTCCACGTCCACGTCCACGTCCATGTCCACGTCCACGTCCATGTCCACGTCCACGTCCATGTCCACATCCCCGTCCACGTCCACGTCCGCGTCTATGTCCACGTCCACGTCCATGTCCACGTCCACGTCAACGTCCCCGTCCATGTCCACGTCCATGTCCACGTCCATGTCCACGTCCACGTCCACGTCCCTGTCCACGTCCCCGTCCATGTCTACATCCACGTCTACGTCCACGTCCTTGTCCTGGTCCATGTCCACGTCCACGTCCACGTCCACGTCCATGTCCACGTCCACATCCATGTCCACGTCCACGTCCATGTCCACGTCCATGTCCATGTCCATATCCATGTCCATGTCTACGTCCACGTCCACGTCTACGTCCACGTCCACGTCCACGTCCACGTCCATGTCCACGTCCACGTCAATGTCCACGTCCACGTCCACGTCCATGTCCACGTCGACATCCACGTCCACGTCCACGTCCACGTCCACGTCCATGTCCACGTCCATGTCCACGACGACGTCCACGTCCACGTCCACGTCCATGTCCACGTCGACGTCCACGTCCACGTCCACGTCCATGTCCACGTCCACGTCCACGTCCACGTCCATGTCCACGTCCACGTCCACGTCCACGTCCATGTCCTCGACCATGTCCACGTCCATGTCCATGTCCACGTCCACGTCCACGTCCACGTCCACGACCACGACCATGTCCACGTCCACGTCCACGTCCACGTCCACGTCCACGTCCATGTCCACGTCTACGTCCACGTCCACATCCCCGTCCACGTCCACGTCCGCGTCCACGTCCACGTCCACGTCCACGACCATGTCCACATCCACGTCCACGTCCATGTCCACGTCCACGTCCACGTCCACTTCCATGTCCACGTCCACGTCCATGTCCACGTCCACGTCCACGTCCACGTCCACGTCCACGTCCACGTCCATGTCCACGTCCACGTCCATGTCCACATCCCCGTCCACGTCCACGTCCGCGTCCATGTCCACGTCCACGTCCACGTCTATGTCCACGTCCACGTCCACGTCCCCGTCCACGTCCCCGTCCATGTCCCCGTCCACGTCCACGTCCACGTCCACGTCCACGTCCATGTCCACGTCCACGTCCATGTCCACGTCCACGTCCATGTCCACGTCCATGTCCATGTCCACGTCCATGTCCATGTCCATGTCCACGTCCATGTCTACGTCCACGTCCACGTCCACGTCCACGTCCATGTCCACATCCACTTCAACGTCCATGTCCACGTCCACGTCCATGTCCACGTCCACGTCCATGTCCGCGTCCACGTCCACGTCCATGTCCACGTCCACGTCCACGTCCACGTCCACGTCCGCGTCCGTCCACGTCCGCGTCCATCCACGTTCACGTCCACGTCCACGTCCACGTCCATGTCCACGTACATATCCACGTCCACGTACATGTCCATGTCCATGTCCATGTCCACGTCCACGTCCACGTCCACGTCCACGTCCACCTCCACATCCACATCCAGGTCCACGTCCATGTCCACGTCCATGTCCACGTCCACGTCCATGTCCACGTCCACGTCCACATCCACGTCCACCTCCACGTCCACGTCCACGACCACGTCCACGACCATGTCCACGTCCACGTCCACGTCCACGTCCACGTTCATGTCCACGTCCATGTCCACGTCCAAGTCCTCCACGTCCACGTCCACAACCACGTCCATGTCCACGTCCACGTCCACGTCCACGTCCATGTCCACGTCCACGTCCATGTCCACGTCCACGTCCACGTCGGCGTCCATGTCCACGTCGACGTCGACGTCCACGTCCACGTCCACGTCCATGTCCACGTCCACGTCCACGTCCACGTCCATGTCCACGTCCACGTCCATGTCCACGTCCATGTCCATGTCCACGTCCACGTCCACGTCCATGTCCATGTCCATGTCCATGTCCACGTCCATGTCCATGTCCATGTCCACGTCCACGTCCATGTCCACGTCCAGGTCCACGTCCATGTCCACGTCCACGTCCAGGTCCACGTCCATGTCCATGTCCATGTCTACGTCCACGTCCACGTCCATGTCCACGTCCATGTCCATGTCCATGTCCATGTCCATGTCCATGTCCACGTCCACGTACACGTCCTCGTCCACGTCCATGTCCACGTCCATGTCCACGTCCACGTCCACGTCCACGTCCACGTCCTCGTCCACGTCCACGTCCACGTCCATGTCCATGTCCACGTCCATGTCCACGTCCACGTCCACGTCCTCGTCCACGTCCATGTCATCGTCCACGTCCACGTCCACGTCCACGACCACGTCCACGTCCACGTCCATGACCACGTCCAATTCCACGTCCAAGTCCTCCACGTCCATGTCCACGTCCACGTCCACGTCCACGTCCACGTCCATGTCCACTTCCACGTCCACATCCACGTGCACGTCCACGTCTACGTCCACGTCCACGTCCGCGTCCACGTCCGCGTCCACGTCCACGTCCGCGTCCCCGTCCGCGTCCACGTCCAAGTCCATGTCCTCGTCCATGTCCACGTCCACGTCCGCGTCCATCCACGTCCACGTCCACGTCCACGTCCACGTCCTCGTCCGCGTCCTCGTCCGCGTCCACGTCCACGTCCACGTCCACGTTCACGTCCACGTCCACGTCCACGTCCATGTCCACGTCCATGTCCACGTCCACGTCCACGTCCACGTCCACGTCCACGTCCATGTCCACGTCCATGTCCATGTCCATGTCCATGTCCACGTCCACGTCCACGTCCATGTCCACGTCCACGTCCACGACCACGTCCACGTCCACGTCCGTGTCCACATCCATGTCCACGTCCAAGTCCTCCACGTCCACGTCCACGTCCACGTCCAAGTCCTCCACGTCCATGTCCACGTCCGCTTTCCATCACCCCGCCCCATTCTCTTGCTTTCCATCACCCCGCCCCATTCTCCTGCTTTCCATCACCTCAACCCATTCTCCCACTTTCCATCACTCCGCCCCATTCTCCCGCTTTCCATCAGCCCGCCCCATTCTCACTCTTTCCATCACCCCACCCCATTCTCCCTCCGTCCATCACCCCGCCCCATTCGCCTGATTTCCATCGCCCCGCCCAATTCTCCCGTTTTCCATCACCCCGCCCCATTCTCCCACTATCCATCACCCCGCCTCATTATCCCGCTTTCCATCACCCTGCCCCATTCTCTTGCTTTCCATCACCCCGCCCCATTCTCCCGCTTTCCATCACCCCGCCCCACTCTCCCGCTTTCCATCATCCCACCCAATTCTCCCTCCTTCCATCGCCCCGCCCCTTTCTCCCGCTTTCCATCGCCCCGCCCCATTCTCCCGCTTTCCATCACCCGGCCCCATTCTCCCGCTTTCCATCACCCCGCCCCATTCTCCCACTTTCCATCACCCCGCCCCATTCTCCCAATCTCCATCACCCCGCCCCATTCTCCCTCCTTCCATCACCCCGCCCCATTCTCCCTCCTTCCATCACCCCGCCCAATTCTCCCGCTTTCCATCACTCCGCCCCATTTTCCCGCTTTCCACCACCCCCCCCCTTTCTCCCTCCTTTCATAACCCCGCCCCATTCTCCCGCTTTCCATCACCCTGCCTCATTCTCCCGCTTTCCCTCACCCCGCCACAGTCTCCTGCTTTCCATAGCCCCGCCCCATTCTCCCGCTTTCCATCACCCCGCCCCTTTCTCCCGCTTTCCATCACTACGCCCCATTCTCCCTCCTTCCATCATCCCGCCCCATTCTCCCGCTTTCCATCACCCCGCCCCATTCTCCCGTTTTCCATCACCCCGCCCCATTCTCCCACTTTCTATCACCCCGCCCCATTCTCCCGCTTTCCATCACCCCGCCCCATTCTTCCGCTTTCCATCACCCCACCCCATTCTCCTGCTTTCCATCACCCCGCCCCATTCTCCCTCCTTCCATCACCCCGCCCCATTCTCCCTCCTTCCATCACCCCGCCCCATTCTCCCGCTTTCCATCACCCCGCCCCATTCTCCCTCCTTCCATAACCCCACCCCATTCTCCCTCCTTCCATCACCCCGCCCCATTCTCTCGCTTTCCATCACCCCGCCCCATTCTCCCGCTTTCCATCACCTCGCCCCATTCTCCCTCCTTCCATCACCTCGCCCCATTCTCCCCCCTTCCATAACCCGCCCCATTCTCCCACTTTCCATCACCCCGCCCCATTCTCCCGCTTTCCATCACCCCGCCCCATTCTCCCGCTTTCCCTCACCCCGCCCCAGTCTCCCGCTTTCCATAGCCCCGCCCCATTCTCCCCATCACCGCACCCCATTCTCCTGCTTTCCATCACCCCGCCCCATTCTCCCGCTTTCCATCACCCCGTCCCATTCTCCCGCTTTCCATCACCCCGCCCCATTCTCCCGCTTTCCATCACTCCGCCCCATTCTCCCGCTTTCCATCACCCCGCCTCATTCTCCCGCTTTCCATCACCCCGCCACATTCTCCCGCTTTCCATCACCCCGCCCCATTCTCCCTCCTTCCATCACCCCACCCTATTTTCCCTCCTTCCATCACCCCGCCCCATTCTCCCGCTTTCCATCACCCCCCCTCATCCTCCCGCTTTCCATCACCCCGCCCCATTCCCCCGCTTTCCATCACCCCGCCCCATTCTCCCACTTTCCATCACCCCGCCCCATTCTTCCGCTTTCCATCACCCCGTCCCATTCTCCCGCTTTCCATCACCACGCCCCATCCTCCCGCTTTCCATCACCCCGCCCCATTCTCCCGCTATCCATCACCCCGCCCCATTCTCCCGCTTTCCATCACCCCACCTCATTCTCCCTCCTTCCATCACCCCGCCCCATTCTCCCTCCTTCCATCACCCCTCCCCATTCTCCCGCTTTCCATCACCCCGTCCCATTCTCCCGCTTTCCATCACTCCGCCTCATCCTCCCGCTTTCCATCACCCCGCCCCATTCCCCCGCTTTCGATCACCCCGCCCCATTCTCCCGCTTTCTATCACCCCGCCCCATTCTTCCGCTTTCCATCACCCCGTCCCATTCTCCCACTTTCCATCACCACGCCCCATTCTCCCGCTTTCTATCACCCCGCCCCATTCTCCCGCTATCCATCACCCCGCCCCATTCTCCCGCTTTCCATCACCCAGCCTCATTCTCCCTCCTTCCATCACCCCTCCCCATTCTCCCGCTTTCCATCACCCCGTCCCATTCTCCCGCTCTCCATCACCCCTCCCCATTCTCCCTCCTTCCATCACCCCGTCCCATTCTCCCTCCTTCCATCAACCCGCCCCATTCTCCCTCCTTTGATCACCCCGCCTCATTCTCGCGCGTTCCATCACCCCGGGATGGAATATGGGAGAAGGGGATGGAATCTGGGTGAAGGGAATGGAATATGGGAGAAGGGGATGGAATCTGGGAGAAGGGGATGGAATCTGGGAGAAGGGGATGGAATCAGGGAGAAGGGGATGGAGTCCGGGAGAAGGGGATGGAATCTGGGAGAAGGGGGTGGAATCAAGGAGAAGGGGATGGAATCCGGGAGAAGGGGATGGAATCTGGGAGAAGGGGGTGGAATCAAGGAGAAGGGGATGGAATCCGGGAGAAGGGGATGGAATCTGGGAGAAGGGGATGGAATCTGGGAGAAGGGGATGAAATCAGGGAGAAGGGGATGGAATCTGGGAGAAGGGGATGGAATCTGGGAGAAGGGGATGGAATCAGGGAGAAGGGGATGGAATCTGGGAGAAGGGGATGGAATCTGGGAGAAGGGGGTGGAATCTGGAGAAGGGGATGGAATCTGGGAGAAGGTGATAGAATCTGGGAGAAGGGGATGGAATCTGGGAGAAGGGGATGGGATCAGGGAGAAGGGGATGGAATCGGGGAGAAGGGGATGGAATCTGGGAGAAGGGGATGGAATCTGGGAGAAGGGGATTGAATCTGGGAGAAGGGGATGGAATCTGGGAGAAGGGGATGGAATCTGGGAAAAGGGGATGGAATCAGGGAGAAGGGGATGGAATCTGGGAGAAGGGGATGGAATCTGGGAGAAGGGGGTGGAATCTGGGAGAAGGGGATGGAATCTGGGAGAAGGGGATAGAATCTGGGAGAAGGGGATGGAATCTGGGTGAAGGGGATGGAATCTGGGAGAAGGGGATGGAATCTTGGTGAAGGGGATGGAATATGGGAGAAAAGGATGGAATCTGGGAGAAGGGGATGGAATCTGGGAGAAGGGGATGGAATCAGAGAGAAGGGGATGGAGTCCGGGAGAAGGAAATGGAATCTGGGAGAAGGGGGTGGAATCAGGGAGACGGGGATGGAATCCGGGAGAAGGGGATGGAATCTGGGAGAAGGGGATGGAATCCGGGAGAAGGGGATGGAATCTGGGAGAAGGGGATGGAATCTGGGAGAAGGGGATGGAATCTGGGAAAGGGGGATGGAATCAGGGAGAAGGGGATGGAATCTGGGAGAAGGGGATGGAATCTGGGAGAAGGGGGTGGAATCTGGGAGAAGGGGATGGAATCTGGGAGAAGGGGATGGAATCAGGGAGAAGGGGATGGAATTTGGGAGAAGGGGATGGAATCTGGGAGAAGGGGATGGAATCTCGGAGAAGGGGATAGAATCTGGGAGAAGGGGATGGAATCTAGGAGAAGGGGATGCAATTAGGGAGAAGGGGATGGAATTTAGGGGAAGGGGATGGAATCTGGAAGAAGGGGATGGAATATGGGAGATGGGGATGGAATCTGGAAGAAGGGGATGGAATCTAGGAGAAGGGGATGGAATGAGGGAGAAGGGGATGGAATCTGGGAGAAGGGGATGGAATCTGGGTGAAGGGGATGGAATCTGGGAGAAGGGGATGGAATCTGGGAGAAGGGGGTGGAATCTGGGAGAAGGGGATGGAATCTGGGAGAAGGGGATGGAATCTGGCAGAAGGGGATGGAATCTGGGAGAAGGGGATGGAATATGGGAGAAGGGGATGGAATCTGGGAGAAGGGGATGGAATCTGGGAGAAGGGGATGGAATCTGGGAGAAGGGGATGGAATCTGGGAGAAGGGGATGGAATTGGGGAGAAGGGGATGGAATCGGGGAAAAGGGGATGGAATCTGGGAGAAGGGGATGGAATCTGGTAGAAGGTGATGGAATCAGGGAGATGGGGATGGAATCTAGGGGAAAGGGATGGAATCTGGGAGAAGGGGATGGAATCTGGGAGAAGGGGATGGAATCTGGGAGAAGGGGATGGAATCTGGGAGAAGGGGATGGATTCTGGGAGAAGGGGATGGAATCTGGGAGAAGGGGATGGAATCTAGGAGAAGGGGATGGAATCTGGGAGAAGGGGATGGAATCTGGAGAAGGGGATGGAATCTGGGAGAAGGGGATGGAATCTAGGAGAAGGGGATGGAATCTGGGAGAAGGGGATGGAATCTGGGAGAAGGGGATGGAATCTGGGAGAAGGGGATGGAATCTGGGAGAAGGGGATGGAATCTGGGAGAAGGGGATGGAATCTGGGAGAAGGGGATGGAATGAGGGAGAAGGGGATGGAATCTGGGAGAAGGGGATGGAATCTGGTAGAAAGGATGGAATCTGAGAAAAGGGGATGGAATCAGGGAGAAGGGGATGGAATCTGGGAGAAGGGGATGGAATCTGGTTGAAGGGGATGGAATCTTGGAGAAGGGGATGAAATCTGGGAGAAGGGGATGGAATCAGGAGAAGGGGATGGACTCTGGAAGAAGGGGATGGAATCTGGGAGAAGGGGATGGAATCTGGGAGAAGGGGATGGAATCTGGGAGAAGGGGATGGAATGAGGGAGAAGGGGATGGAATCTGGGAGAAGGGGATGGAATCGGGGAGAAGGGGATGGAATCTGGGAGAAGGGGATGGAATCTGGGAGAAGGGGATGGAATCTGGGAGAAGGGGATGGAATCTGGGAGAAGGTGATGGAATCTGGGAGAAGGGGATGGAATCTGGGAGAAGGGAATGGAATCTGGGAGAAGGGGATGGAATCTGGGAGAAGGGGATGGAATTTGGGAGAAGGGGATGGAATCTGGGAGAAGGGGATGGAATCTTGGGGAAGGGGATGGAATCTGGGAGAAGGGGATGGAATCTGGGAGAAGGGGATGGAATGAGGGAGAAGGGGATGGAATCTAAGAGAAGGGGATGGAATATGGGAGAAGGGATGGAATCTAGGAGAAGGGGAATGGGAGAAGAAGGGATGGAATCTGGGAGAAGGGGATGGAATCTGGGAGAAGGGGATGGAATCTGAGAGAAGGGGATGGAATCTGGGAGAAGGGGATGGAATCTGGGAGAAGGGGATGGAATCTGGGAGAAGGGGATGGAATCTGGGAGAAGGGGATGGAATCTGGGAGAAGGGGATGGAATCTTGGAGAAGGGGATGGAATGAGGGAGAAGGGGATGGAATCTGGGAGAAGGGGATGGAATCAGGGAGAAGGGGATGGAATCAAGAAGAAGGGGATGGAATTTGGGAGAAGGGGATGGAATCTGGGAGAAGGGGATGGAATCTGGGAGAAGGGGATGGGATCTGGGAGAAGGGGATGGAATCTGGGAGAAGGGGATGGAATCTGGGAGAAGGGGATGGAATCGGGGAGAAGGGGATGGAATCTGGGAGAAGGGGATGGAATGAGGGACAAAGGAATGGAATCTGGGAAAAGGGGATGGAACTTGGGAGAAGGGGATGGAATCTGGAGAAGGGGATGGAATTTGGGAGAAGGGGATGGAATCTGGGAGAAGGGGATGGAATCTGGGAGAAGGGGATGGGATCTGGGAGAAGGGGATGGAATCTGGGAGAAGGGGATGGAATATGGGAGAAGGGGATGGAATCGGGGAGAAGGAGATGGAATCTGGGAGAAGGGGATGGAATCGGGGAGAAGGGGATGGAATCGGGGAGAGGGAGAAGGGGATGGAATCTGGGAGAAGGGGATGGAATCTGGGAGAAGGGGATGGAATCTGGGAGAAGGGGATGGAATCTGGGAGAAGGGGATGGAATCTGGGAGAAGGTGATGGAATCTGGGAGAAGGGGATGGAATCTGGGAGAAGGGGATGGAATCTGGGAGAAGGGGATGGAATTTGGGAGAAGGGGATGGAATTTGGGAGAAGGGGATGGAATCTGGGAGAAGGGGATGGAATCTTGGGGAAGGGGATGGAATCTGGGAGAAGGGGATGGAATCTGGGAGAAGGGGATGGAATGAGGGAGAAGGGGATGGAATCTGGGAGAAGGGGATGGAATATGGGAGAAGGGGATGGAATCTAGGAGAAGGGGATGGAATCTGGGAGAAGGGGATGGAATCTGGGAGAAGGGGATGGAATCTGGGAGAAGGGGATGGAATCTGGGAGAAGGGGATGGAATCTGGGAGAAGGGGATGAAATCTGGGAGAAGGGGATGGAATCTGGGAGAAGGGGATGGAATCTGGGAGAAGGGGATGAAATATTGGAGAAGGGGATGGAATGAGGGAGAAGGGGATGGAATCTGGGAGAAAGGGATGGAATCAGGGAGAAGGGGATGGAATCAAGAAGAAGGGGATGGAATTTGGGAGAAGGGGATGGAATCTGGGAGAAGGGGATGGAATCGGGGAGAAGGGGATGGAATCCGGGAGAAGGGGATGGAATCTGGGAGAAGGGGATGGAATCTGGGAGAAGGGGATGGAATCGGGGAGAAGGGGATGGAATCTGGGAGAAGGGGATGGAATGAGGGACAAAGGGATGGAATCTGGGAAAAGGGGATGGAACGTGGGAGAAGGGGATGGAATCTGGGAGAAGGGGATGGAATTTGGGAGAAGGGGATGGAATCTGGGAGAAGGGGATGGAATCTGGGAGAAGGGGATGGAATCTGGGAGAAGGGGATGGAATCTGGGAGAAGGGGATGGGATCAGGGAGAAGGGGATGGAATCGGGGAGAAGGGGATGGAATCTGGGAGAAGGGGATGGAATCTGGGAGAAGGGGGTGGAATCTGGGAGAAGGGGATGGAATCCGGGAGAAGGGGATGGAATATGGGAGAAGGGGATGGAATCTGGGAGAAGGGGATGGAATCTGGGAGAAGGGGATGGAATCTGGGAGAAGGGGATGGAATCTGGGAGAAGGGGATGGAATCAGGGAGAAGGGGATGGAATCTCGGAGAAGGGGATGGAATCTGGGAGAAGGGGGTGGAATATGGGAGAAGGGGATGGAATCTGGGAGAAGGGGATGGAATCTGGGAGAAGGGGATGGAATCTGGAGAAGGGGATGGAATCTGGGACAAGGGGATGGAATCAGGGAGATGGGGATGAAATCTAGGGGAAGGGGATGGAATCTGGGAGAAGGGGATGGAATCTGGGAGAAGGGGATGGAATCTGGGAGAAGGGGATGGAATCTGGGAGAAGGGGATGGAATGGGAGAAGGGGATGGAATCTGGGAGAAGGGGATAGAATCTGGGAGAAGGGGATGGAATCTGGAAGAAGGGGATGGAATCTGGTAGAAAGGATGGAATCTGAGAAAAGGGGATGGAATCAGGGAGAAGGGGATGGAATCTGGGAGAAGGGGATGGAATCTGGTTGAAGGGGATGGAATCTTGGAGAAGGGGATGAAATCTGGGAGAAGGGGATGGAATCAGGGAGAAGGGGATGGACTCTGGAAGAAGGGGATGGAATCTGGGAGAAGGGGATGGAATCTGGGAGAAGGGGATGGAATCTGGGAGAAGGGGATGGAATGAGGGAGAAGGGGATGGAATCTGGGAGAAGGGGATGGAATCGGGGAGAAGGGGATGGAATCTGGGAGAAGGGGATGGAATCTGGGAGAAGGGGATGGAATCTGGGAGAAGGGGATGGAATCTGGGAGAAGGTGATGGAATCTGGGAGAAGGGGATGGAATCTGGGAGAAGGGAATGGAATCTGGGAGAAGGGATGGAATCTGGGAGAAGGGGATGGAATTTGGGAGAAGGGGATGGAATCTGGGAGAAGGGGATGGAATCTTGGGGAAGGGGATGGAATCTGGGAGAAGGGGATGGAATCTGGGAGAAGGGGATGGAATGAGGGAGAAGGGGATGGAATCTAAGAGAAGGGGATGGAATATGGGAGAAGGGATGGAATCTAGGAGAAGGGGATGGAATCTGGGAGAAGGGGATGGAATCTGGGAGAAGGGGATGGAATCTGGGAGAAGGGGATGGAATCTGAGAGAAGGGGATGGAATCTGGGAGAAGGGGATGGAATCTGGGATGGAATCTGGGAGAAGGGATGGAATCTGGGAGAAGGGGATGGAATCTGGGAGAAGGGGATGGAATCTTGGAGAAGGGGATGGAATGAGGGAGAAGGGGATGGAATCTGGGAGAAGGGGATGGAATCAGGGAGAAGGGGATGGAATCAAGAAGAAGGGGATGGAATTTGGGAGAAGGGGATGGAATCTGGGAGAAGGGGATGGAATCTGGGAGAAGGGGATGGGATCTGGGAGAAGGGATGGAATCTGGGAGAAGGGGATGGAATCTGGGAGAAGGGGATGGAATCGGGGAGAAAGGGGATGGAATCTGGGAGAAGGGGATGGAATGAGGGACAAAGGAATGGAATCTGGGAAAAGGGGATGGAACTTGGGAGAAGGGGAATGGAATCTGGGAGAAGGGGATGGAATTTGGGAGAAGGGGATGGAATCTGGGAGAAGGGGATGGAATCTGGGAGAAGGGGATGGGATCTGGGAGAAGGGGATGGAATCTGGGAGAAGGGGATGGAATATGGGAGAAGGGGATGGAATCGGGGAGAAGGAGATGGAATCTGGGAGAAGGGGATGGAATCGGGGAGAAGGGGATGGAATCGGGGAGAGGGAGAAGGGGATGGAATCTGGGAGAAGGGGATGGAATCTGGGAGAAGGGGATGGAATCTGGGAGAAGGGGATGGAATCTGGGAGAAGGGGATGGAATCTGGGAGAAGGTGATGGAATCTGGGAGAAGGGGATGGAATCTGGGAGAAGGGGATGGAATCTGGGAGAAGGGGATGGAATTTGGGAGAAGGGGATGGAATTTGGGAGAAGGGGATGGAATCTGGGAGAAGGGGATGGAATCTTGGGGAAGGGGATGGAATCTGGAGAAGGGGATGGAATCTGGGAGAAGGGGATGGAATGAGGGAGAAGGGGATGGAATCTGGGAGAAGGGGATGGAATATGGGAGAAGGGGATGGAATCTAGGAGAAGGGGATGGAATCTGGGAGAAGGGGATGGAATCTGGGAGAAGGGGATGGAATCTGGGAGAAGGGGATGGAATCTGGGAGAAGGGGATGGAATCTGGGAGAAGGGGATGAAATCTGGGAGAAGGGGATGGAATCTGGGAGAAGGGGATGGAATCTGGGAGAAGGGGATGAAATATTGGAGAAGGGGATGGAATGAGGGAGAAGGGGATGGAATCTGGGAGAAAGGGATGGAATCAGGGAGAAGGGGATGGAATCAAGAAGAAGGGGATGGAATTTGGGAGAAGGGGATGGAATCTGGGAGAAGGGGATGGAATCGGGGAGAAGGGGATGGAATCCGGGAGAAGGGGATGGAATCTGGGAGAAGGGGATGGAATCTGGGAGAAGGGGATGGAATCGGGGAGAAGGGGATGGAATCTGGGAGAAGGGGATGGAATGAGGGACAAAGGGATGGAATCGGGGAAAAGGGGATGGAACGTGGGAGAAGGGATGGAATCTGGGAGAAGGGGATGGAATTGGGAGAAGGGGATGGAATCTGGGAGAAGGGGATGGAATCTGGGAGAAGGGGATGGAATCTGGGAGAAGGGGATGGATCAGGGAGAAGGGGATGGAATCGGGGAGAAGGGATGGAATCTGGGAGAAGGGGATGGAATCTGGGAGAAGGGGGTGGAATCTGGAGAAGGGGATGGAATCCGGGAGAAGGGGATGGAATATGGGAGAAGGGGATGGAATCTGGGAGAAGGGGATGGAATCTGGGAGAAGGGGATGGAATCTGGGAGAAGGGGATGGAATCTGGGAGAAGGGGATGGAATCAGGGAGAAGGGGATGGAATCTCGGAGAAGGGGATGGAATCTGGGAGAAGGGGGTGGAATATGGGAGAAGGGGATGGAATCTGGGAGAAGGGGATGGAATCTGGGAGAAGGGGATGGAATCTGGAGAAGGGGATGGAATCTGGGACAAGGGGATGGAATCAGGGAGATGGGGATGAAATCTAGGGGAAGGGGATGGAATCTGAGAAGGGATGGAATCTGGGAGAAGGGGATGGAATCTGGGAGAAGGGGATGGAATCTGGAGAAGGGGATGGAATCTGGGAGAAGGGGATGGAATGGGAGAAGGGGATGGAATCTGGGAGAAGGGGATAGAATCTGGGAGAAGGGGATGGAATCTGGAAGAAGGGGATGGAATGGGAGAAGGGGATGGAATCTGGGAGAAGGGGATAGAATCTGGGTGAAGGGGATGGAATATGGGAGAAGGGGATGGAATCTGGGAGAAGGGGATGGAATCTGGGAGAAGGGGATGGAATCAGGGAGAAGGGGATGGAGTCCGGGAGAAGGGGATGGAATCTTGGAGAAGGGGGTGGAATCAAGGAGAAGGGGATGGAATCCGGGAGAAGGGGATGGAATCTGGGAGAAGGGGATGGAATCCGGGAGAAGGGGATGGAATCTGGGAGAAGGGGATGGAATCTGGGAGAAGGGGATGGAATCTGGGAGAAGGGGATGGAATCCGGGAGAAGGGGATGGAATCTGGGAGAAGGGATGGAATCTGGGAGAAGGGGGTGGAATCTGGGAGAAGGGGATGGAATCTGGGAGAAGGGGATAGAATCTGGGAGAAGGGGATGGAATCTGGGAGAAGGGGATGGAATCTGGGAGAAGGGGATGGAATCTTGCTGAAGGGATAGAATATGGGAGAAAAGGATGGAATCCGGGAGAAGGGGATGGAATCTGGGAGAAGGGGATGGAATCTGGGAGAAGGGGATGGAGTCCGGGAGAAGGGGATGGAATCTGGGAGAAGGGGGTGGAATCAGGGAGACGGGGATGGAATCCGAGAAAAGGGGATGGAATCTGGGAGAAGGGGATGGAATCTAGGAGAAGGGGATGGAATGAGGGAGAAGGGGATGGAATCTGGGAGAAGGGGATGGGATCTGGGTGAAGGGGATGGAATCTGGAGAAGGGGATGGGAATCTGGGAGAAGGGGATGGAATCTGGGAGAAAGGGGATGGAATCTGGGAGAAGGGGATGGAATCTGGCAGAAGGGGATGGAATCAGGGAGAAGGGGATGGAATCTGGGAGAAGGGGATTGAATCTGGGAGAAGGGGGTGGAATCTGGGAGAAGGGGATGGAATCTGGGAGAAGGGGATGGAATCTGGGAGAAGGGGATGGAATTGGGAGAAGGGGATGGAATCGGGGAGAAGGGGATGGAATCTAGGGAGAAGGGATGGAATCTGGTAGAAGGGAGGAATCTGGAGAAGGGGATGGAATCTGGGAGATGGGGATGGAATCTGGCAGAAGGGGATGGAATCTGGGAGAAGGGGATGGAATCTGGGAGAAGGGGATGGAATCTGGGAGAAGGGGATGGAATCTGGGAGAAGGGGATGGAATCTGGCAGAAGGGGATGGAATCTGGGAGAAGGGGATGGAATCTGGGAGAAGGGGATGGAATCTGGAGAAGGGGATGGAATCTAGGAGAAGGGGATGGAATCTAGGGAGAAGGGGATGGAATCTGGGAGAAGGGGATGGAATCATGGGAGAAGGGGATGGAATCTGGGAGAAGGGGATGGAATCTGGGAGAAGGGGATGGAATCTGGAGAAGGGGATGGAATCTGGGAGAATGGGATGGAATGAGGGAGAAGGGGATGGAATCTGGGAGAAGGGGATGGAATCTGGTAGAAAGGATGGAATCTGAGAGAAGGGGATGGAATCAGGGAGAAGGGGATGGAATCTGGGAGAAGGGATGGAATCTGGTTGAAGGGGATGGAATCTGGGAGAAGGGGATGCAATCTGGGAGAAGAGGATGGAATTAGGGAGAAGGGGATGGAATCTGGAAGAAGGGGATGGAATCTGGGAGAAGGGGATGGAATCTGGGAGAAGGGGATGGAATCAGGGAGAGGGGATGGAATTTGGGAGAAGGGGATGGAATCTGGGAGAAGGGGATGGAATCTTGGGGAAGGGGATGGAATCTGGGAGAAGGGGATGGAATCTGGGAGAAGGGGATGGAATGAGGGAGAAGGGGATGGAATCTGGGAGAAGGGGATGGAATATGGGAGAGGGGATGGAATCTAGGAGAAGGGGATGGAATCTGGGAAAAGGGGATGGAATCTGGGAGAAGGGGATAAAATCTGGGAGAAGGGGATGGAATCTGAGAGAAGGGGATGGAATCTGGGAGAAGGGGATGGAATCTGGGAGAAGGGGATGGAATTTGGGAGAAGGGGATGGAATCTGGGAGAAGGGGATCGAATCTGGGAGAAGGGGATGAAATCTTGGAGAAGGGGATGGAATGAGGGAGAAGGGGATGGAATCTGGGAGAAGGGATGGAATCAGGGAGAAGGGGATGGAATCAAGAAGAAGGGGATGGAATTTGGGAGAAGGGGATGGAATCTGGGAGAAGGGGATGGAATCGGGGAGAAGGGGATGGAATCCGGGAGAAGGGGATGGAATCTGGGAGAAGGGGATGGAATCTGGGAGAAGGGGATGGAATCGGGGAGAAGGGGATGGAATCTGGGAGAAGGGGATGGAATCTGGGAGAAGGGGATGGAATCTGGGAGAAGGGGATGGAGTCCGGGAGAAGGGGATGGAATCTGGGAGAAGGGGGTGGAATCAGGGAGACGGGATGGAATCCGAGAAAAGGGGGATGGAATCTGGGAGAAGGGGATGGAATCTAGGAGAAGGGGATGGAATGAGGGAGAAGGGGATGGAATCTGGGAGAAGGGGATGGGATCTGGGTGAAGGGGATGGAATCTGGGAGAAGGGGATGGAATCTGGGAGAAGGGGATGGAAATCTGGAGAAGGGGATGGAATCTGGGAGAAGGGGATGGAATCTGGCAGAAGGGGAATGGAATCAGGGAGAAGGGGATGGAATCTGGGAGAAGGGGATTGAATCTGGGAGAAGGGGGTGGAATTTGGGAGAAGGGGATGGAATCTGGGAGAAGGGGATGGAATCTGGGAGGAATGGGGAATGGAGCAAGGGATGGAAGGAGAAGGGGATGGAATCTGGGAGAAGGGGATGGAATCTGGAGAAGGGGATGGAATCTGGGAGAAGGGGATGGAATCTGGGAGAAGGGGATGGAATCTGGGAGAAGGGGATGGAATCTGGGAGAAGGGGATGGAATCTGGGAGAAGGGGATGGAATCTGGGAGAAGGGGATGGAATCTGGGAGAAGGGGATGGAATCTGGGAGAAGGGGATGGAATCTGGAGAAGGGGATGGAATCTGGGAGAAGGGGATGGAATCTGGGAGAAGGGGATGGAATCTGGGAGAAGGGGATGGAATCTGGGAGAAGGGGATGGAATCTGGGAGAAGGGGATGGAATCTGGGAGAAGGGGATGGAATCTGGGAGAAGGGGATGGAATCTGGGAGAAGGGGATGGAATGAGGGAGAAGGGGATGGAATCTGGGAGAAGGGGATGGAATCTGGGAGAAGGGATGGAATCTGAGAGAAGGGGATGGAATCTGGGAGAAGGGGATGGAATCTGGGAGAAGGGGATGGAATCTGGTTGAAGGGGATGGAATCTGGGAGAAGGGGATGGAATCTGGGAGAAGAGGATGGAATTAGGGAGAAGGGGATGGAATCTGGAAGAAGGGGATGGAATCTGGGAGAAGGGGATGGAATCTGGGAGAAGGGATGGAATCAGGGAGAAGGGGATGGAATTTGGGAGAAGGGGATGGAATCTGGGAGAAGGGGATGGAATCTTGGGGAAGGGGATGGAATCTGGGAGAAGGGATGGAATCTGGGAGAAGGGGATGGAATGAGGGAGAAGGGGATGGAATCTGGGAGAAGGGGATGGAATATGGGAGAAGGGGATGGAATCTAGGAGAAGGGGATGGAATCTGGGAGAAGGGGATGGAATCTGGGAGAAGGGGATGGAATCTGGGAGAAGGGGATGGAATCTGAGAGAAGGGGATGGAATCTGGGAGAAGGGGATGGAATCTGGGAGAAGGGATGGAATCTGGGAGAAGGGATGGAATCTGGGAGAAGGGGATGGAATCTGGGAGAAGGGGATGGAATTGAGGACAAGGGATGGAATCTGGGAAAAGGGGGGGGAGAAGGGGATGGAATCTGGGAGAAGGGGGGATGGAATTTGGGAGAAGGGGATGGAATCTGGGAGAAGGGGATGGAATCTGGGAGAAGGGGATGGAATCTGGGAGAAGGGGATGGAATCTGGGAGAAGGGGATGGGATCAGGGAGAAGGGGGATGGAATCGGGAGAAGGGGATGGAATCTTGGAGAAGGGGATGGAATCTGGGAGCAAGGGGGTGGAATCTGGGAGAAGGGGATTGAATCCGGGAGGAAGGGGATGGAATATGGGAGAAGGGGATGGAATCTGGGAGAAGGGGATGGGAATCTGGGAGAAGGGGATGGAATCTGGGAGAAGGGAATGGAATCTGGGAGAAGGGGATGGAATCAGGGAGAAGGGGATGGAATCTCGGAGAAGGGGATGGAATCTGGGAGAAGGGGGTGGAATATGGGAGAAGGGGATGGAATCTGGGAGAAGGGGGATGGAATCTGGGAGAAGGGATGGAATCTGAAGGAAGGGGATGGAATCTGGGACAGGGGATGGAATCTGCAGGGGAGATGGGGATGAAATCTAGGGGAAGGGGATGGAATCTGGGAGAAGAGGGATGGAATCTGGGAGAAAGGATGGAATCTGGGAGAAGGGGATGGAATCTGGGAGAAGGGGATGGAATGGGAGAAGGGGATGGAATCTGGAGAAGGGGATAGAATCTGGGAGAAGGGGAGTGGAATCTGGAAGAAGGGGATGGAATGGGAGAAGGGGGATGGAATCTGGGAGAAGGGGATAGAATCTGGGTGAAGGGGATGGAATATGGGAGAAGGGGATGGAATCTGGGAGAAGGGGATGGAATCTTGGAGAAGGGGATGGAATCAGGGAGAAGGGGATGGAGTCCGGGAGAAGGGGATGGAATCTTGGAGAAGGGGGTGGAATCAAGGAGAAAGGGGATGGAATCTGGGAGAAGGGGATGGAATCTGGGAGAAGGGGATGGAATTCTGGGAGAAGGGGATGGAATCTGGGAGAAGGGGATGGGAATGAAGGGACAAAGGATGATCTGGAAAGGGGAATGGACGTGGGAGAAGGGGATGGAATCTGGGAGAAGGGGATGAATTTTGGGAGAGGGGATGGAATCTGGGAGAAGGGGATGGAATCTGGGAGAATGGGATGGAATCTGGGAGAAGGGATGGAATCTGGGAGAAGGGGATGGGATCAGGGAGAAGGGGATGGAATCGGGGAGAAGGGGATGGAATCTTGGAGAAGGGGATGGAATCTGGGAGAAGGGGGTGGAATCTGGAGAAGGGGATGGAATCCGGGAGAAGGGATGGAATATGGGAGAAGGGGATGGAATCTGGGCAGAAGGGGATGGAATCTGGGAGAAGGGGATGGAATCTGGGAGAAGGGATGGAATCTGGGAGAAGGGGATGGAATCAGGGAGGAGAAGGGGATGGAATCTCGGAGAAGGGGATGGAATCTGGAGAAGGGGGTGGAATATGGGAGAAGGGGATGGAATCTGGGAGAAGGGGATGGAATCTGGGAGAAGGGGATGGAATCTGGAGAAGGGGATGGAATCTGGGAGAAGGGGATGGAATCAGGGAGAAGGGGATGGAATCTGGGGAAGGGGATGGAATCTGGGAGAAGGGGATGGAATCTGGGAGAAGGGATGGAATCTGGGAGAAGGGGATGGAATCTGGGAGAAGGGGATGGAATGGGAGAAGGGGATGGAATCTGGGAGAAGGGGATGGAATCTGGGAGAAGGGGATGGAATCTGGAGAAGGGGATGGAATCTGGGAGAAGGGGATGGAATCTGGGAGAAGGGGATGGAATCTGGGAGAAGGGGATGGAATATGGGAGAAGGGGATGGAATCTGGGAGAAGGGGATGGAATCTGGGAGAAGGGGATGGAATCAGGGAGAAGGGGATGGAATCGGGAGAAGGGGATGGAATCTTGGGAGAAGGGGGATGGAATCTGGAGAAGGGGATGGAATCTGGGAGAAGGGGATGGAATCTGGGAGAAGGGGATGGAATCTGGGAGAAGGGGATGGAATCTGGGAGAAGGGGATGGAATCTGGAAGAAGGGGATGGAATCTGGGAGAAGGGGATGGAATCTGGGAGAAGGGGATGGAATCTGGGAGAAGGGGATGGAATCTGGAGAAGGGGATGGAATCTGGGAGAAGGGGATGGAATCTGGGAGAAGGGGATGGAATCTGGGAGAAGGGGATGGAATCTGGAGAAGGGGATGGAATCTGGGAGAAGGGGATGGAATCTGGGTGAAGGGGATGGAAATATGGGAGAAAAGGATGGAATCTGGGAGAAGGGGATGGAATCTGGGAGAAGGGGATGGAATCTGGGAGAAGGGGATGGAGTCCGGAGAAGGGATGGAATCTGGGAGAAGGGGGTGGAATCAGGGAGAAGGGGATGGAATCCGAGAAAGGGGATGGAATCTGGGAGAAGGGGATGGAATCAGGGAGAAGGGGATGGAATCTGGGAGAAGGGATGGAATCTGGGAGAAGGGGATGGAATCTGGGAGAAGGGGATGGAATCTGGGAGAAGGGGATGGAATCTGGGAGAAGGGGATGGAATCTGGGAGAAGGGATGGAATCTGGGAGAAGGGGATGGAATCTGGGAGAAGGGGATGGAATCTGGGAGAAGGGGATGGAATCTGGAGAAGGGGATGGAATCTGGGAGAAGGGGATGGAATCTGGGAGAAGGGGATGAATCTGGGAGAAGGGGATGGAATCTGGGAGAAGGGATGGAATCTGGGAGAAGGGGATGGAATCTGGGAGAAGGGGATGGAATCGGGGAGAAGGGGATGGAATCGGGGAGAAGGGGATGGAATCTAGGAGAAGGGGATGGAATCTGGGAGAAGGGGATGGAATCTGGGAGAAGGGGATGGAATCCGGGAGAAGGGGATGGAATCTGGGAAAGGGGATGGAATCTGGGGAGAAGGGGATGGAATCTGGGAGAAGGGGATGGAATCTGGGAGAAGGGGATGGAATCTGGGAGAAGGGATGGAATCTGGGAGAAGGGGATGGAATCTGGGAGAAGGGGATGGAATCTGAGAAGGGGATGGAATCTGGGAGAAGGGGATGGAATCTGGAGAAGGGATGGAATCTGGGAGAAGGGGATGGAATCTGGGAGAAGGGATTGAATCTGGGAGAAGGGGATGGAATCTGGGAGAAGGGGATGGAATCTGGGAGAAGGGGATGGAATCTGGGAGAAGGGGATGGAATCTGGGGAGAAGGGGATGGAATCTGGGAGAAGGGATGGAATCTGGGAGAAGGGGATGGAATCTGGGAGAAGGGGATGGAATCTGGGAGAAGGGATGGAATCTGGGAGAAGGGGATGGAATCTGGGAGAAGGGGATGGAATCTGGGAGAAGGGGATGGAATCTGGAGAAAGGGGATGGAATCTGGAGAAGGGGATGGAATCTGGGAGAAGGGGATGGAATCTGGAGAAGGGGATGGAATCTGGGAGAAGGGGATGGAATCTGGGAGAAGGGGATGGAATTTGGGAGAAGGGGATGGAATCTGGGAGAAGGGGATGGAATCTGGAAGAAGGGGATGAATCTGGGAGAAGGGATGGAAATGGGAGAAGGGGATGGAATCTGGGAGAAGGGGATGGAATCTGGGAGAAGGGGATGGAATCTGGAGAAGGGATGGAATCTGGGAGAAGGGGATGGAATCTGGGAGAAGGGATGGAATCTGGGAGAAGGGGATGGAATCTGGAAGAAGGGGATGGAATCTGGGGAGAAGGGGATGGAATCTGGGAGAAGGGGATGGAATCTGGGAGAAGGGGATGGAATCAGGAGAAGGGGATGGAATCTGGGAGAAGGGGATGGAATCTGGGAGAGAGGGATGGAATCTGGGAGAAGGGATGGAATCTGGAGAAGGGGATGGAATCTGGGAGAAGGGGATGGAATCTGGGAGAAGGGGATGGAATCTGGGAGAAGGGGATGGAATCTGGTTGAAGGGGATGGAATCTGGAGAAGGGGATGGAATCTGGGAGAAGGGGATGGAATCTGGGAGAAGGGGATGGAATCTGGGAGAAGGGGATGGAATCTGGGAGAAGGGGATGGAATCTGGGAGAAGGGGATGGAATCTGGGAGAAGGGGATGGAATCTGGGAGAAGGGGATGGAATCTGGGAGAAGGGGATGGAATCAGGAGAAGGGGATGAATCTGGGAGAAGGGGATGGAATCTGGGAGAAGGGGATGGAATCTGGGAAGGGGATGGAATCTGGGAGAAGGGGATGGAATCTGGGAGAAGGGGGATGGAATCTGGGAGAAGGGGATGAATCTGGGAGAAGGGGATGGAATCTGGGAGAAGGGGATGGAATCTGGGAGAAGGGGATGGAATCTGGAGAAGGGGATGGAATCTGGGAGAAGGGGATGGAATCTGGGAGAAGGGGATGGAATCTGGGGAGAAGGGGATGGGTGAGGAATCGGGAGAAGGGGATGGAATCTGGGAGAAGGGGATGGAATCTGGGAGAAGGGGTGGAATCTGGAGAATGTGATGGAATCTGGGAAAGGGATGGAATCTGGGAGAAGGGGATGGATTGGGGAAAGGGGATGGAATCGGGGAAAGGGGATGGAAGGGAGAAGGGGATGGAATCTGGGAGAAGGGGATGGAATCTGGGAGAAGGTGATGAATCTGGGAGAAGGGGATGGAATCTGGGAGAAGGGGATGGAATCTGGGAGAAGGGGATGGAATCTGGAGAAGGGGATGGAATCTGGGAGAAGGGGATGGAATCTGGGAGAAGGGGATGGAATCTGGAGAAGGGATGGAATCTGGGAGAAGGGGATGGAATCTGGGAGAAGGGATGGAATCTGGAGAGGGGAGGAAATCTAGGAGAAGGGGATGGAATCTGGGAGAAGGGGATGGAATCTGGGAGAAGGGGATGGAATCTGGGAGAAGGGGATGGAATCTGGGAGAAGGGGATGGAATATGGGAGAGGGGGATGGAAAATCTGGAAGAAGGGGATCTGGGGGAGAAGGGGATGGAATCTGGGAGAAGGGGATGGAATCTGGGAGAATGGGATGGAATGGGGAGAAGGGGATGGAATCTGGGAGAAGGGATGGAATCTGGAGAAAGGATGGAATCTGGGAGAAGGGGATGGAATCTGGGAGAAGGGGATGGAATCTGGGAAAGGGGATGGAATCTGGGAGAAGGGGATGGAATCTGGGAGAAGGGATGGAATCAGGGAGAAGGGGATGGAATCTGGGAGAAGGGGATGGAATCTGGGATAAGGGGATGGAATCGGGAGAAGGGATGGAATCTGGAGAAGGGGATGGAATCTGGGAGAAGGGGATGGAATCTGGAGAAAGGGAATGGAAATCTGGGAGAAGGGGATGGAATCTGGGAGAAGGGGATGGAATCTGGGAGAAGGGATGGAATCTGGGAGAAGGGGATGGAATCTGGAGAAGGGGATGGAATCTGGGAGAAGGGGATGGAATCTGGGAGAAGGGGATGGAATCTGGGAGAAGGGGATGGAATCTGGGAGAAGGGGATGAATCTGGGAGAAGGGGATGGAATCTGGGAGAAGGGGATGGAATCTGGGAGAAGGG